TTTTTTTTTTTTTTGAAATTAAAAAAGCAGAAGACTGACGATTAACTTCACTGTAGTATAGCAGTTCAAATTTACTGAAACATAAGGTTCAACTGGAAAAACAGAAAAGTATTCTAGGTCTTTATTTTTATTTTTTTAATATATTTTTATTGAATATATATATAAATATTCAGTTGATTGTTCTTTTTTTCTTTTTCTGCTGCTTTACAGTTACTCTAATGAAATAGGATTATTGATGGTACAAATGCTTTTTTATAAATGATCTGTAGTGTGCATTTTAATAGCAACAGTCTTTTAGAACTTATTCGAAAAAGAATCAAATTGCTGTATGGCAACAGGATATGGCGTTTTGTGAAAATAAAGTGAAAAATAGACGCCAATATGCTCACGGAAGAACACTTTTGGATTTAGTAGATCTACATATTTTGGATTATTTAATTGGTTAGTCTTAGAACAGAGAATATGATTGTTTTGTATAGATGGCTAAAATTGCTAGTTTGGTTAATTGGTCTTTAGATAGCGGTAAAGCAATCTGTATTTTATTTGTCTTTACTTGGCGATAACAAAGCGTTATTTGACAGTTTTTCAAGAGTAATTACTGAGTGAAAGGAGAATAGCTGTTGTTTACGTTTTCAAGTTAACTGTTATAAATAGGTAAGAGTGAAATGTGTACAATTTGAAGTTTTTATTATTTTACTTCTTTATAAATCTTGACGATTTTGGTAGAAGATTTCTCCAAGTAACATGAAAAATTGTAGAAGAAAATGATGCTTTTCCAAGAAAATTTATTTAATCAAGATTGTAAAAAGAGTTCTATTCAACCTAAAAACTAACCTTTAAAAAATAATGATTTGCATAATGCTGTAGCAGGTAAGACTGAGGGTAAAATAGTATTATTTCAGTTAAATGATTATTTTTTAAGCATTTTGTAATTGCGTGAGGAGAATGGACAATAGGTAAAAAATATTTTCTAAGTTGTCTCATCACTATACAACTTATTTGATGAAATTATTATGCAGTTTCTACACTTAATTGGCTTCTTAACTGGCTTTATTTTTTAGGTAATCAAGATCGACATCACTTTGAATCATTTGCAGTATTCGATAACATCCCATCATACGCAATTCATCTTGACAATGGCAGAGCGTAAGATACTTTTTTTATTACTGTTGAACATTGTTATGGAATTTGATTTAGCATATCACATTGTTGCAGTATTAGTAAGACTCCTCCAAAAAGAATCGTTGTTTTAGCTTTGGACGATCTGACATCGATGATGAGGATATTATTCTTCCACTGAAACAATGTTGTGTAATTCGCCCGTCAACACTGTTGACTCTTCTAAATTATTATAAGGGCCCTGTCTCACTGTCAGAAGCGTTAAATCGGTATGTGTTTGAAAAATCTTTTTTTTTTTTTTTTTTTTTTTGCAGAACTTAAATCTGAAAAATTTTGTTTTTTTACGTCTTTATATGCGTTTAAAAACTACTTTGTGTGTCATAAATTAGGAAAGAGTTATACTTGTGTTATTGTTTTTATTTTTGACAAAGAACAACCGTTATTAGATCTATGGCCGCTGATCCTGTCTCACCTATTTTGGCCCAAAAGCATTATCCTGCTTTGGAGAGGAGGCTTTACAAAGTGCTGAAATATGTTGAGGAATGTATAATACGATATCGTGACCCAAGTAGAGTGATTATGCCAGAATACCACAATGAGGTTTCCCATTTTTAAACAATTATTCTAGCAAATTTTCTCAGTATTGCGCTAACCATATAACAAACGTGTCAACACTCGTATTTACTTAAATTACTCAGATAAATTATTGGTATTTGGGCTTATAAAACGTAATATATTTTAGGCTGTGAAGTCGGCAGCGGCTGCAGATGGAACTGAGGAAGATGAAGACGAGCCGAAGAAAGAAGGAGGAGTTAGAAAAGAAACTTAGTACTCAAAATAGCTATGCACGGAAAAATACTACTGAACCACAGAGTAGGCCTACCAACGGCTTCCAGTTCAATTTTCGAGAACCTTCTGATGAATATTTTGATGACAACTGGTAAGCATGAGGCTCTCCTAATGTATGCTATTGCATTTTTGTTTTATTTAAGTGTTTACAGTTTGAGTGTTACAATACTACTTGTATAAGGAGTGAAAGTTAAACATACGGTTAGTTTGTACTTTTTTGTTGATTTCATTTACAAAATTTTTCTTTTCTGTTTATTTTATTCTACGATCTGATTAAGCACTTTTTATTGTTACGGTTGTCTGATGTTCCTAATCTATTTAGTTGTCCTGTTTAGTTGTACTAATTAAATTGTGTCATAGAAATATTGTGATGATTGAAAAGCGAAAAAAAAACAATTGTATTATGAAAAAGGATGAAGAAAGTGAGAAGAATACAAGCATAATGTTTGGCGTTTGTCAGATAAATTCCTTCTGACAGTGATTCAATTGTTCTGTGCAATATATAAAATGTTTGTTCATAGACGAAGTTCATGTTTTGCCCAGGTTATGTTATTTTTAATAGGGATCTTTTTTGTTTTCTTTTCTCATTTAATTTGTATATCAACTGGTGCCTTGCGACGGTGACCTGTAGTGATGTGGTTGTTTTTTCTTTTTGTATATAATCCTTCTATGCCGGTGATTTTTCCTTCCTTGTTTGCCTCTACTTGTTACTTGCTATTCAGTAAGAATTAAAAAACGCTAAGCAAGAAAAAAACAAAAGTTTTATTTATTTTTGAATGTCATCTTAATGAGTTATGTGTCGTCTCAGTCCATTGTCTCTTGTTTCATTCTAGTTTGAAAAGTTTTTATGTGAGTGAAAGTGTTGGGACCATTTTTTGCGCGTTTGTCAATTTCACTTTTCCTTGCTCAGTGTTAGAAAGTGCCTTGTGATAATAAAGACTCGGAATTTATTACCACAGCGAGAAGCGCGAAACTCGATCATATAATTCACAGGTACTGCCAGCCTATTCAGTGAGTCAATGGTTCTTCAGTTGTGACGGAGAATAGACTGGATAGGAATTCAGTTAGTAGTGGGCTGAAATTTTTTGGTGGTTCTTCTGTTATTAATGTTCCAGGGTCTGAATCTTGTAAATAGATTATAGTTTATTGTTATAAGCGCAGGTGAAAGGAAGAAAATTTGCAATGATATGCAGAAATTTGCGCTTTTTTTTTAAGCATAGATTTGCGGTAACATGAGTGAAGAAGATGCATGAAAATACTGCTTTCAAATGAATTAATGGTTAGTTTATCATTGCTGCAAACTGTGTTCGTCTTATCTGGTTTGTCTAATATTGCTGTGTATTATGTAGAAGTTGCTTTCTTTGATTCTCTGCATACACCTACAGTCCGTTCCAACAAACCGTCAAAAAGTGTTTAGAGACAAACTCATTGCCATAGACTATTAAGGCATAAACCCAAATTAGGTGCAAAAGAAGTTGGAGATAGCTATTCAGGTATATATTCTACACTAGCGAGTACAAAAGATTAAGAAAGTTGTTTTGAAAATTGATTTCTTTAGAAGAACTTGGCTGCAATTGGAAATATTACATATTTTTGAAAATGTGGTAGTACACTGGTGGCCAAAGGTTAAATCACCGCGACCAGTGGACACTTGGATAACTGATACTTGTTGAATATCTGTGACTCTTCTGCTTTCGCGACAAAAAAAGCAATAAAACCAAAACACCAAAGTGATCAATCAGGAGGTTCAAGTTATATTTTGTAGAACCATTATGGAAAGGCAAGAACAAGTACATAAAACAAGAGATCAGGGGAAAAATGAGGACTGGAGTAAGATTATTCTGAGCAGGTGTAAGCGCGAACGCTTGAGCCTACTTCGTGTTTTACCTGAAAAAGTTCATAAATTTTTTCAAAG